TAACTCGGGCGTGTCCCTCTACGGGGGGAATGCTCAAAAATAGTCAAACAATGATATGGGGACGATTTTTTGAGTACGTTATATTATAATTGAGAACGTTCGGGGCCTTGTGTCCCAGGGCAGCGCCAGGCGACAAGCGGGCGGGCGGGCGAGGCTCAGGCGGCGCCCGCTGGAGCCTGCGACGGGCGCGAGGGTCGGGGCTCAAGAGACGGGGGTCGATGCAAGGGTCAGCCAAAGCGCCCGATCTTGCAGGATCCTGCAGGGCCAGGGTCGCATTGACCCGGGTCCGGGCGCAGGATCCTGCAGGATCTTGCAGGATCCTTCGCGTTGACTTGGGCTTTGGTGTAAGATTTTGCAGGATTCTGCAAGGCCTGACTGACCCTTGTCTGGATTGACCCGGGTCAGAAGATCCCCGAGAGCAGCGAGGGCGTGCTTGCCGGGAGAGGTGTACCAGAGGTGCGCGCCATTGTGATGTTGCGAGGCACTCCTCGCAGTTGCAGCTGGGAGATGCTGGTCGGGCTGCTGGACGGCCGCGGCTTTTCGGGGGCCTTCGACTTTGTCTACGTGCCTGTGGGGGTTCGGGCCCATGGCAAGCTGAAGTGCCAGGCAGTAAGATACTCGTCAACCTGAGCGAGCCTTCGATCGCTGAGTCCTTCGAGCTTTTTTTTGGACGACTTCTCTGGGCATCCGTTCTCACCTTCCGAGGTCTGTGGTGCGGACTGGAGCAGGCTGCAGGGGCTGAGTGCCAATGTCGAGCATTGCCGGGAGGACGAGCCTCACAGCCCCCTCGGCCAGACTGTCTCGGCCGTCGGCGTCCTCGGGTCGATCATTGTCGTCATGATCGAGGCGAACGTGAGCGAGAGTGTGTTCAGGAGGATGAGCAGTTTTGAGATGCAGGAGTGCTTGTCAGCCTCGGAGTCAGCCGGTTTGGAGGATGGGAGCTATGACCCCCTCTGGGGAGGGGCTGCCCTTGTTTTCGGGGACCATGGCTCGGCAGTGTCGAAGGCGAAACGGACGCAACGGACTCCTGCGATGAACGGTGCTACCCAGATGTTACTGCAGCTGATTGGGGCGCTCGCAGGTCAAACATCTCCAGCGCCTACGACGACGTGGAGGGCGCGTCGCCAGAAGCGCCAGCGCGGAGGTCGCCTGTCGACTCCAGCTACACAGGCGTCGTGAGGCCAGTCGATCCTGCAGGAGCTCAGGGGTGTGCTCCAGCAGGCCGACGCCGCGACGCGTGCGCTATCTGATATTCAAGTCTTCGAGGCGCTGCAGGGCTTGCTCGCCCGCCGCGCTTCCATTTTTTTTCCCATTTTTTCGGCGTCGTCGCCTCCAGATCGCAGGCGGGGGCCCGCCCTCAGCGGCCGCGCCCGCAGGAAGAGCACAGGCCGCTCCCACCCGCTGCAGCTGCCACCTTCCGCCTCTGGACGCTCGCTTGGCAGGGCGCTGCCGTCTGCCAGGGGCGCCCCGTCGAGGGGCGCGCTCTCGCAGGCCCGACCGTCCTGGTTTGCCGGACGGAGGCCGAGTTCAGGAAAGTAAAGAAGTGGCGCCGCTCGACGGGCGCCCAGGTCGGCGCGACCTACATCGTGTTCCCCACCTTCGCTGGGGCTCCGACCTGGCAGGCGGAACCCGCTGCCGACTGGCAAGACGTGCTCGTGGGCGGCCCCCGTGGCCCTGTGGCCCAGGGCGCTTGGACCCTCTACGACGGCGAGGATGCGCCCCGCCGAGCCCCCCCCCCCTCCGCCCGCGCGCGCGCGCCCCGCCGGCCTCGAGGGCGACGAGGTGCAGCGGCCGAAGGTGGAGACCTTCGCGGCCCGCCTCGCCATCGCCCAGCGGCTCGCCCCGAACGAGACCATTGGGCGCGCGCGGCAGGACCCGCTGACCCTTTCTGCCCTGGTGCTCCCAGAGTTGGATTGCAAGCGGGTGATCACTTCGACATGTGTCATCAACAACGGGACCGAGGTGACGTGCATCATCATCGGTAAGGCCTCAGCAGGCCACTTTCTTCCCCCTCGTATTGCCCCCCTGGCGCGTTCCTTCCGGAGCAGCGCAGCCAGCTGATGCCCGTGTTCGCGAAGTGCAGAATGCTCGAGGATGACGCTTCGCACTACGCTCGCGTCCGTCAGATCGCTGCCCAGAGCGAAGGCGGCCGTGTCATCTACCGTCCCAGCGACAACGCCCCCCTCGGAGTCGTTGCCGATAAGCTGGGCGCCCCTGCGGAGTCCAGAGCCTGGCTCCGGTGTGGTGCATCGCCCGCGCGCCCGAGAGCTGGGCCCACGAGGGCGACGCCGCGGAGTGGTGCAGGGTTCGCGGCTTCGCCGCCGTCGCGGCCGCCCATAGGATCGACCGCCGCAAGTGTCTCTTCCGCGGCGAGCTGGAGGACGGCGCCAGGCAGTCAGCCGCCCAGTTCTCGTCTGGCATCGTGGTCAGCACGGTCGCGGCCCAGGCGGCGGCCAGGAAGGGCGGCCCCAAGCCGAAGTCAGCCTGGGGGACCCCCCTCCCGCTTCGCGGGTTGCCACCGACAGGCGCCGACGAGGAGGATGAGGAGGAGGAGGAGGAGCCCCCCAGTGATGCAGCGGCCGCGCCACCGGGGGCCGCTGCCGCACCCGCGCAGCCAGCGGCCGCCGCCGAGGAGGAGGCTGCCGCCGACCCCGCCGCGGCCGGCAGCGGCGCCACCGGCGAGCCAGAGGAGCGGCCGCCAGCGGCGGCCCCCCAGCCGAAGAAGCAGACGCTGAAGCCGTCGCCCGCCCCGTTCGCCGAGTTCTTCGCAACGCAGCAGAACGAGGGCCAAGGGGGCTGCTTCTACCTCGCCCTTGGCGCGGCGAACCGCGCAGGCCGCAAGGGCGCGAAGCCGCTCGAGCCTTCGGACAGCGAGCCTGGATGCCGCCTGCAGGGCGAGATGCGCCAGGCCACCGCGAGCGACATCAGCCGCCACTTCAGGCAGTTCGACTTGACCGCCGCGACCGTCGAGGCAGTCAACGAGGCCACGCTGACGAGCACCACCTTCGCTGACGGTCGCTCTGTGCGAGCCGCTGCCCTTGCCATCAAGGCGCGCATCTTCATGTGGGCCCGCGTGGCTGACCGCTGGGCGCTATGCGGGCCCCCGCAGGCGGACCAGCAGAGTGTGAACATGAAGCAGACCCTCTGGCTCACCATATCAGATCAGCATTATGAGAGATTGGTCGCCAAGAAGCCGCTGGGCGCGGCCGCGGAACAAGCTTGGATTGACGCGAGCCTGCCCTGCCCCGTCGACTTCGCAGGAGGTGGTCACAGCAGGGCGTGCAGTACTCGCGCAGCAGAAGCTCGCGCGAGGTCCTTCCTGGGCCTCTTCCCCTGCCACCTCGCGCCCCGTCGAGGCGCGCGCCCGCTCGTTCCCGGGCCTCTCCGCCGCCTCGGAGCACCGGGGCCGGGGCGCCGAGTTCGAGGGCATCGACCGCGCGCAGCCTGGCGAGTTGTTTCGCCGCCCTGGGCCCTACTTGGACTGCCCCGACTGGTTGGCGCGACGCCGCCGCCGCCCTTCAGGGGCGGATCCGCGACGCCCGCGCCCGCTGGCGCGCCTGCCGAGGTGAGGCGCCCCCCAAATGCCCAACCCCTTGCCGCTCGACGTTCTCGTCGCTCCACCGCCAGTCGCCATCCCGTGAGGAGAGCCGCAAGTAGTGGCAGAAGAACTGCGACGACTGGCTTGCTGCCCGCCCAGCTTCAGCGCGGGGCGCATTCAGCGACCTCGATTTCCAGCGGGTCGAACAGAGCGGCAGCAAGGAAAAGTATAGGTGCACCAGATGCAACATATACAAACGGGCCTACAATGCTTAGATGGACGGGCTGCGCGTGGCCCGCAATGCGGCGGTCGCCGAGAAGGTCGCCATGATCTCCGCCGTGGGGGGGGGGCTGCCGAGGCCCATCGTCTACGACACAACCGTATTGCCGCCGAGTGCTCGCAGAAGATCATGGGCGATCCAGTGCGCCGCGGGGCAAGGGGCGCGAAGATCAACGTCGGGGCCGCAGTCGCTGGTTTGAGGGCTTTACGTGGGTGCAGCGCCGCCCCCAGAGGCGCAGGGCCATGCAGGTCAAGCGGGCGGCCGAGCGGCGAGCCCTACCAATTGCTGAACGCCAGGCTCTGGATCGTGCGAACGGGGCCAGGGGGGGGGCTAAAGAAACTTGGCGCGCAGAAGTTGGTGGCCGCCCAGGCCCGCGTCGCGCCCGCTTCCAGCGCGAGCCCTTCGACAGGGTCATCGTGACTAGCTTCTACTCATACATGTATCGCGCCTTCGCGGCTGAGTTCGCAGCGGGCTGCGAGTCGCCCTCTGCGCGCTACTGATCTTGACGGCCAGTTTGTTGCATCGCGCTTTGCCGTGGGGTATCCATCGCATGATGGGCATTTCGTCTTATTCGATTCACAAGCTGGGCATATCCTCTTATTCGATTCATATGTTGTTGATGTTAGTGCTGCGCCTGATCCCGGTCCGCTGCTCGGAGGAGGCACCCAGACCAACAGCGACGCCATCGGCGTCCTCAACGTTGCCAAGATTTGTCGTTAAGGCGCCGCGGCGATCTTGTCGCATTCCGCTGTTCGGGATATGGCTTTCATGACATGGCAGGAAGTGCGTTTCCTCCTGCCCGACCTCGGTGGCTAGTTCGGCTGGCTGCTGACCATGGTGGGGGTATCGCTTGTTCGCCGCCCCCTTCCGAGCGGCCGTTTCGGCTGTGGTGGTGTTGTCCAGGGAGGTAGTGCAGTATTGTGGCGCCGAAGCCTGGGTCGAGTTTCAGTCCATCGAACCAAGCTGCTCGGGCGCCGAGCGATCGCTGTGCGCGCCGCAGCCTGCGCCATTGTTTCAGTGCATGGGCCTTCGCGCCCTGACCAGCAGCGCGTCGCCCGCGTGCTTGATTGGGCCAGGCGTTTGGGGATGACGTAGTTCTCCTTGGTGGCTTCAACTGGGCCGCCCCCTACGCCGGCCTCCTCTCGTTGGCGCGCGGCGCCGACGGGGGCGCCTGCCGCGACAATGGGTGCGCATCCAACGTGGGCGCTGAGATTGGCAGCAGCTGCCGCGGAAGCCCCGGACCTCCTGAGCGTCGACTTCGCTGAGGGCATCCCACGCCACGGGCTCTGCGCGTGCTCCTTCCACGTGCCGATGGTGGCCCGGTCCATGGATAGGCTCGCCCACGCCGCCCTCTATGCTGCTGATCGCCAGGCCTTCGTGACTGAGGCCGAGATCCAGGTGATTGCGGCTGCCTTGGATTCTATTGCGCCGAAGGTTTCCGACGCCTCCGACATCATCGAGCTCTGTCGTATTTGGCGCGCCCGGGCTGAAGCTGGCCTGCTGCTGACCGTCAACAGGAACTGGGGCAAGCTGGACAGGAAGGCGGAGCGCCCGAAGGGATCTGCCCCCTCGGCTCGCCCGACCTCCCCACCTCCAGCTCACCAGAAGCTCGAGAGCATTGCCCTCCGTCGCCTTCGACGACTTCCTCGGAGCTGCACGGAGAGCGTGGACACTCGCCGACGACATCATGCTGCGATCACCGACCGCGTGAACGACCGTCAACTGGAGCACTTCGCGCAGTTGTGCCTCGACCAGCTGTGCGACCCCATCAATGGCATGCCCAGCTGCGGCCAGATGCTGGAGTCCGTCAACCGCGCCATCTCCGCCGATCACCACGAGGTCGCGATGGGGCGCCGACGCCACTGGGCCGCCTGCTTCTCGAAGCGTGGTCCTCTCAGACTAGGAACTTGGCCACGCCCTGCTTCGAGCGGGCCCCCCGGCAGCGGGCTTCGATGCTGCTGGCATGTGCGCAGAGCGGGCCCCCGTCTGGAGCCCTGGCGAGAACGACTCGGGCCCCGAGGTCGAGAAGTGGAAGGAGTGGGCCCGCGGCGTCTCCTTCCTGCAGTCCGACAAGGCGAAGGACTTGGTGCCATCCCGCCAGGTCTTCGAAAAAGCGGTGCCCAGCACTCGAGGCGCAGCCGGCCTAGATGGCTGGGCGGCGTCGGCACGCGCATGGCGGTGGGGTGTGGCGGCAGGCTGCCCTAGCAGGTGTCCGACGCCATCTTCGGGTGGCGAGTGGCGGGCGTCCCCAAGAAGGACGAGAACGAGAGTAGGCCCATAAGCGTGGCTTCCTGCCTACTTCGTGCTTGGCCCGCGGCCGTGGCGACCTCCCCCCCGCGGCCCGCGGGCTCCCAGTTCGAGTGCAGGAAGGGCGTCGCCGTCGTCCATGCTGTCTCGGCCTGGCTTGCTAGGGTAGCCTTGTTCGGGCCCGAGCTGGACTTGAGAAAGGCCTGCGGCTGCGTGGGCCGCGCCCTCGCCGCCGCCGCGCTGGCCGCGCGGGGCGCCCCCGAGGTGGTCATCAACATCTCCTTGCGTGCCTTGCGTGGCCGCGCTACTGCGCAGTGAACTCCGAGGTGGCCCCTGCGCTTTGGGCCATGCGCGGGCTTCCGCAGGGCGACAGCGTCGCCCCTGGCGCCATGGTGGCGGCCCTCGTTCCCTGGAAGCGCACCCCAGCGACTGGATGGGCTCTCGTGGACGACCGTTCCATCGCTTCCATGACTGAGGCCCACCTGGCCGTCGGTCTCGAGCGCGCCGTGCAGTTCGACGCCGACGTCGGCTATGCCGAGGGCGCCGCCAAGCGCCAGAAGTGGTCGGCAGCAGTGGGGTCGAACTCCCTGGTGCACCTCGGGTTGATCTGTGACCCGAGCCGCCCTGAGGCCCCGATCCAGCCGCGTGGGGGCTGGGAGAAGCTACCATCTTCAGTTGCTGTGCTTCAGAGTTCCCCTGGCGCGGCTAGTGTCCGAGAGCGCCGGTGTGCGGCCTCCCCCCGCCCGTTGTGGATGTGGGCTGTGCCGTTTTTGGAGCTGCCGCCGAAGATAGTCGTGGGGCTTGTCTTCAGTGCGGTCATTCGCGCTCGCCGTACCTGGTGGTGCTCGAGCCGCTGGTGGCGCCGCGGAGTCCAACTGCATCCGCGAATTGGCCCCGCGCTCCAGGCGATGGGGGCGATCCGCTCGGTGAAGCTGCTGCCTGGCAAGCACCTTGAGCGCTCCTTGGCCAGTTGCTTAGAGAAGCTGGGCCTGGAGTTCCTGGGCCACGACCCCGAAGGGGGGATGTAGCTGTGGGTCGACTTAGATGGCGACCCGGGGAGCGCGCGCGCGACGGCAGCCTGCCGAGGTCGCGGTTCTACGTTCTGGACGGCCAGCAGCGAGGCGCAGCATGCCGTCGGGGTCGTTGCGAGAGTGCGTTGCCTCCAGGGCATCCCGCGCTCTCGAAACCATAGGAAAGGTGCTGGGGATGTGGGCGTGGAGGTGCTCAGCACTGCGACGTGGCGCGAGTTCGTGGCCACGCTTTCGCGGGGCGACCTGCAGCGCCTGAGCGTCTTCGCGCGCGGGGCTACCCAGTCGAGGACCGGGACTTCGAGTCGGTCCGAGTGTAGCAGCTGCTGCCGCTTCTGCGACCGCCCGCTGCCGTCCGTGCGACACTTGTGGCAGGAGTGCCCGCAGTTTTCAGAAGCTCGTGATCGTCTCCGAGAAAAGGTTCGACTTCCAGATGAGTTTTGGCAAACCCAACCGCGTGCAACGTCAAGGAGCGGGTGGATTGCTCGAGCAGCGGCGCCTTCTTTGAAATGGAGGGCCGAGCGGCTGTTCGCCTTGGTCTACGTCTCGTTCAGGAGAATTTTCAAGCTGACCCGCAGCGTGCACAGCACTGAGTGGATCCTCCTGGCGTTCAACCCAGAGTCAGGTTACGTCATTCACCACCTCTCTCGGGCATTGCCGGAACAGTCCCTTCATGAACAAATCGGTGGTGAACGAGCACAAACCAACGATCTCCTCAGAAGGGGGTGCGGCGCCCTCTTCCCAAACCCACTGGAGGGCCCAAGAAATTCAATAATATTTGAGTGAGGTGCAATGAGGTTTGAGGTGGCTGTGACTGGCCACTTGGTCATCATTGCCCCTTCTTGCTTCATTCTCTTATCTCGTCTCCCTCATCCCTTCCTTGATTTAGCTGCCCCTTCGCCATCCTGTCTTATCTGCTCAAACTTTGAACCCTTGACCTGTCCATCTACCGTTGCATTTTTTTTGTTATATATATATATAACATCCCATTATTATCAGAGTTTTTGTTTTATTTTTGTTTGTAGTAGTACTGATAGTACTACTATTGTTTTTATAATAGTATTATTTTGATTGTTGTTGTTATTGCTGTTGTTGTTACAATTATTATTAGTATTATTGTTATTATTATTATTATTATTAGTATCATTATTATTATTATCATCATCATTGTCATTATGATGATGATGCTGATGCTGATGATGATGCTGATGCTGATGATGACGATGATGCTGATGATGCTGCTGCTGATGATGATGCTGATACTTATTATGCATAGTATTATTAGTAGTATTATCACGATTATATATATGTGTATGTATGTATGTATGTATATATATATACACATAAGCAGGGAAAAGTCCGCTGCCCATCCTGGAGGTAGATCGTCAGCACCGTGTTCCGTGGACGTGTGCCGCACGGGGCGCTCAGGGGTGGGGGCGGAAGGCTGGTGTCGCAGAAGGACCGAGGCGGGGAAGGTTCGAGGATGGAGGTTCTCGGGCTTCACTGCCAGGCTACGGGGGCCATCTTCGTGCCGTGGGGTTGTCAGGCTGTGCGTGGTCACCGTCCATGCCCTTGGCGACCCACAGGGCGCACATCCCGCCGCCCCGCACCTTGCAAGGGGCGGGCTCGGTTTTCTGGCCCGCAGGCGCTGCGGCCTCTGTTCTTGGGGCCGCCACCGGCAGGGCTTGGCCCGGGCAGGCCGGGAGGGTATCGTATTCGCCGCGGCGGGCGACGATGCTCTAGGTGGCCAGCGGCGGAAGCATAACAACAAACCCTCACGTTTATACAAGATTTTTGAAGTCGTGAACGTGGATAGCGGGCCTCCGTTGCTCCTTTCCGTCTCCCTTGAGGAGGAGGAGGAGGAGGAGAAGGAGGAGGAGGAGGAGGAGGAGGAGGCGGAGGAGGAGGAGGAGGAGGAGGAGGAGGAGGAGGAGGAGGAGGAGGACGTGCTCCCCCCTATGCCAACGTGGGTTTCTTCGAGCTCTCGAGGAGCAGTTGCGTAGGCCACGCCTTCCAGGCTTCTTGCCACGGCTTCAAGAACACCACGCTCTAGGGCATGTCGGCGGCCTTGGCCGCTTCTCCCTGTTGTTTGTCGTAGCTGGGGATCGATTGGCCCAGTCTGCCCGCCTCGGTTGCCGTTGCTTCTCATGGAGCGGTCTTCTCTTTTTCTGGTATTGAGTCGGGCGTGTCCCTCTACATGAGGCAATTCCAAACATAGTTAAAACATCGTACGTGGACTATGTTTTAAAGTATGTTTGAGTTTTTTCTCTTGCATTTCAAGCAAAGTTATTCGTCCAAACTTGCCTGTAGGGGGACATGCCCGACCTAATGGTACCACCATGACGTACCTGCCTCTCAGCAAGGAAGCCAACACAACAACAAAATCGCCTCTTGGGGCCCTCTTGGGGGCCTCTTGGCCTCTTGGGGCGCTCTTGTGGCGCTCTTTTGCGCTCTTGGGGCCGTCTTGGGGCCCTCTTGGGCTCCTGTTGGGGCCTTCTTGGGCCTTCTTGGAGCCATCTCGAGGCCTCGGAAGCTCATCGGAAGCGAAATTGCGAGACAGCTCCATCATTCATGTTTCGTAGGTTGTTGAAAGGTATTGGCCTCGTAGGGACCTCTTTGGGAGACTCCGACGCCACTTTGAACCGTCTTGGACTGCTCTTGGGGTTTCTTGGAGAGCATGTTGGAAGCCATCTTGAGCGAACCTTTACTATCTTGGGCCATCTTTGAGGTCATCTTGATTCTCCGAGGCCCTCTTAGAGCCATGTTGAGCCCCAAACCACCCTTTGACGCCTCGCCGCCCCCCCCCTCCAAGTCCAGGGGGAGGGGGTAGGGGGAGGCCCCGAAGGGGAAGAAGGGGGTTGGAAGAGGAAACGCCCCAAACCACTCACGCCCTGAAGGGCTGGTGGGATTCATTAGTATGGCGAGCTCGGGGCACCTCAGGCTGAGTTGAAAGCGTCGAAAGAGGAGGAGGATATCAAGGAAGAAAGAGGCGGAGAGGGAGGAGGAGGAGGAGGAGGAGTAGGAGGACGGGAGACGGGGGGATGGGGGCAGAACGTGCTTTCGGTTTGGCCACTTGTTCCAGGCAAAGGGACGAGGTGGCGAACGCAGTCGTGGACTACTTGGAGCTCGTGTGCGCCAAGAACCAGACAAAGGCTGCCCGGGGCTCGTTCTGCATGTCCTCCCTGCATGCCTGCCCCATTCTTCCTTTTTTCCTTCTCCCCCTCGTCTCCCACCTCCTCCCTTTCCCCCTCTCCTCCACCTTCCTCTTTTGCTTATCCTGGCCGCTGTCTCAAGCGCGGGAAGGTTGCCCGTGGTGGTATTGCAGCCGCCGTATTTTTTGTTGCTCCTGTACCTGTCAAAGTGTTGCCTCGTGGTCGGGGTTGTCGCCACCGGGGCGTCGATGTCGGTCGCAAGTTCCTGATCGGCGGCCTCTGCGTTCGCGATGTTGTGGACCGTCATTTGTTCAGAAACGGCAAAAACCGCCGGTGATGAGCCATGCCCAAGACTGCCTGTCAGCCAGCGGCTGCCGAGGGCCGCCCGGGGCGCGCGATGTTTCTTTGCGTGAAGGCTGTCCTGATGATTTTGGCGGGCAGGGTTTGGAACCAGTGCGGAGGCTCCATGTCGTGTGGGCTCGTGGCAACTGGTTGCTCGGGTGCATCTTTGGAGTTTCCGCCCGCAAGGTTTTGGTGCAGCGTGTCGAGGCTTCAGATGAGCCCCCAGCGCGGGCGTTTAGGACAGTTTCTCTCTCGTGAGGCTGGCGTTTCCCAGGCTGACGCTGACATGCTTGGTACTTTCGCGGAGGCCCGCACCGAACCGAATCTGCTCCATCTCCCCCTCCTCCTGCTGCTGCTCCTCCTCCTCCTCCTCTCTTTCCTCTTCCTCACTTCCCACGCTTTCTCCACTTCCTCCTCCTCCTCTTCCTCATCTTCCCCGCACCTCGTCCCTCGTCCATGTTCTCCCCCCCCACCTCCCCGAACTTCTTCACCTCCTCCGCCTCCCTCCTCCCTTCTTCCTTATCCCCCCTCGTCCTTCGTCTCCCTTCGGCAGAGAGAGGCGAGGCCGTCGCGGTGCCGCACGCGGCCCCTCGCGGCAGCGGGCTCGCCGCCCGACCGCGCCAGGTTGGCTGGATCGCTGAGCGGCTGAGCAACGGGAGCTTGCCGCTCGAGTTCACGGGCGACGTGCTGGTGCGCGCCGCCCCGAGGAGAGGGGAGGGAGGGAGGGAGGACCGGAGTGCGGGAGGGGGGGCCTACTTCGTCCTGAGGGTCCCCAACTTGTCGTGGTGTGCGGCCTGGTGGTCAGGGAGAGAGTGTGCAGTTTCTTGTCAGGCTTTCTTCATGCTGTCAGGAGGAGGAGGAGGAGGAGGAGGAGGAGGAGGAGGAGGAGGAGGAGGAGGAGGAGGAGGAAGAGGATGAGGGTGGTGGAGAAGGAGGAGGAGGAGGAGGAGGAGGAGGAGGAGGAGGAGGAGGAGGAGAGAGTGCGATAATAGAAGGAGAGGAGGTGGAGGAGAGAGCGGTGAGAGCGACCGACTGCGTGGCCCAGGACTGGTCGGTCCGCGTTCAAGGGCATGGCGTGAACTTGTAGTGTCTGCCGCGCTTCATGGTGACAGTACTTGTCATATGTGTGCGAATCTAGTGCAACCCATCAAGAGATGGAGGTTCGAGGGTTGAGGCACATGGTTCGGAATGTCCTGGGAACCAGAGGAAACACGTATGTAGTCCCACGCTGGGCAGCTATGCCTCTACACAGACGAATTGATACTTTCCAAGTGCGGATGTTTCATCCATGTGTTTCAAATGCGTGTTTGTTTCAGCTTGAAAGAAGTGCAGCGACCTGACTGGAATGCTCCCGTTTGCATGGGCTCGGGACTAGCACAGCGAGTTTTGTGGCAGAGTGCGAAGTTTCTCGGCGAGAAGGAACGGCGAAAGCAGGGGTCGTGTGCGCAAGGCCTGGGCGCTCAACCACCTGTGAAGACGCGCTTGTGTTGGGCTTTGGCAAAGAATGGAGCTCCGAAATAATCAATGCCCAATTCTTACGCGAGTGGAGACGCTTCATCTCTGAGTCCATCCATTGTGTTAGCCAGCAGTATTGCCTCCCAGAATTTGCTGCCAGAACGCGGCCATCCGCGCAAGAGTTGGGCAGTGTCTGTCATATCTGGAATTTCCTCACACGGAGTGTCTGCACTTGGATGATCGGGTACGGGATCACTCTGCGCCAACGATATGATCGACGGCCAACGTCGTGGACTTGGGATTCGTTTGGCGCGTGGCGCTTGATGATCATCATGTCCAGCGGGGCACAATTGTCATTCGGTCCGTCGGCTTTCCGAGCATAAGTGTTCGCTCTCAAGCTTTGGCCATCAGTTTTTCGGGACATCTGTGGGCGAGCCCACGCCGTTTAAGTCTAGTGTTGTCGTGCTGTGTTTTCTAATTCCTTACCTTTCCCTGTCATGTTCCTTATCCTTCTTTTGCCGTTTCTTTCTCTCCGGTTCGTGCATTTTCCCGGGCACAGTTTTCTTCTTTGCCTCCTCCCTCCTGCTTCTTCCCTTCCATTGTTTTTCCTTTCCTGCTTTCATTTCGGCCGCCCTGTCTTGTACCGTTACAAACTTTGCATAGAGTCACAAGTGAGGGCCAGCATCGTCCTGCAGCCCAGGGGTCTGAACAGAATCGAGAAGAAGAGGACGGATGATGATGATGATGAGGAGGAGGAGGAGGAGGAGGAGGAGGAGGAGGAGGAGGAGGAGGAAGAGGATAGAGGATAGGAGGAGGAGGAGGAGGAGGAGGAGGAGGAGGAGGAGGAGGAGGAGGAGGAGGGAGGATGATAGAGGAGGAGGAGGAGGAGGAGGAGGAGGAGGAGGAGGAGGAGGAGGATAGAGGAGGAGGATTACAGAGGAGGAGAAATAGGAAGAGAAGAAGAAGATGCCAAGGAAGGGCGGGGGGGAAGAGGAAGGGGGGGGTGGGAGAGGAGGGGGGAAAAAGAGGGAGGGATGAGAGGTCTTTGCGTGTCTCGGGTGTCTTGACGTTTTCGAGTTAGTTGCGTAGTTTTTGTTTGTATATATATATATATGTATACATCTGTGGCTTTTGCAGACGGCACGAGGGTGCTGTACGAGGAGGAGGAGGACGAAGAAATGAGAGGAGGAGGAGGAGGAAGAGGAAGAAGAGGTAGATGAGGAGGAAGAGGAAGGAGGAGGACGAGGAGGAAGAGGAAAGGAGAGGAAGAGGGAAGGAGGGGTGATGGGGGGAAGAGGAAATACACGCAACACTCCGCAGGGACTACAGTGGATTGTCTGGTATGTGTGTGGGTGAGTGGGTGGCCACCATTGTCCAGTATTGTGTCTACCACGCCCTGATCTCCGCATCATCAGGTATTTGTGCGCAGGAAGGAAATCCAACAATACTTCTTCCCCTCACAGTGTGGATGAGGGACTCGGTGCGTGTCCGTGCGTCTCGGTAAAAGCCGCCTTGCATAATTTCGCTTTGCGCACTCTTGGGCATCAGCCTTGGAAAGCACGTCGTGGCTATGATCCAGGACTTCAGCCAGGAACTGGCAAAGATCGCCTAGCACCTTCACCAGGATAAACGATTATGCGCCGCAAGAGCCTCGCCACGATTGTACAGCGTCGAAATTCACGCAAGATAGTTTTGAATCACTTTGGCAGTTCTGCAACGTACGCCTATGAGATCTGAGGGGCGCACGCTGCTCACCACTGATCGTGATGCTGCTGAAGTTGACAGGGGTGCTGCGCCGCATCGAAAATCATTGACCATGACAAGTGTTGGCATCTCGGAAATATTCGCAAAAAGCTTGGTAATGTTGTTTGATAGATACGTCGTCCCACAGTGCTTGGGGTGAGTGTGAGGCTTTGACGATGGACGTCGAACTGGAAGTGAGATTGCGAGGGCGATCTTACGGACATTGCGGTGCGCGTGCTTCCAAATTCCACGTGCAGGACAATTCCCTGCAGTTCAGATGGGCTCAAATGGTGATTTACCGTTGCACCGGAGGGGGGAGTGGAAAGCGCGACGTCCAACCACGCGCGCTGCATGCCAAACGCAGTCACAAGAGAGCTGTTGGCGCTGACAACGAGATGATCGTTTCCCGCGAGCATCTCAGACTGAGTTTTCACTGCTTTCCCTTGCCCCTTCTCCTTCCCCGCTTCCATGCTTCGTAGCGTCTTCGGGTCCGCGTTCCTCCACCTCCCCGCCCGCCCTGCTTCCCTCTCTGCCCCCCTGCCTCTGCCCCTGCTCTTTCCTCCCCCCTCTCCCCTCTCTGCCTCTCCTCCCCCCTCTCTATCTCTCCTCCCCCTCCCTGCTCTCCCCCTTCCTTCTCCTTCCCCCCAGCCTGCCCCTGCTCCTCGCCGTTCGGCCCACCTTCCCCTTGTCCCCTACTTCTCTCCCCTTCCGCTGCCTTTCCTTCCCTCCTCTTCCTCCCCCTCCTTTTGTCCTTCCCTTCCGTCCTTCTCCTCCTCTTCCTCCTCCTCCTCCTCCCTCTCCTCGTCTTCCCTTCCCTTCCCTTCTCCTCCTCCTCCTCCTCCTCATCTTCCTCCTCCTCCTCCTTTTCTTCCTTCTCCTCCTCCTTCCCTTCCTTCCTCCTCCTCCTCCTCCTCTTTTTGCCTCAGCGGCCTCCTGCGCGGCAGGAGGGCGGGACGGTCGAGCGGCGCGTCCTCCTCCTCCTCTCCCTCCTCCCTCTCCTCCTGCTCCTCCACCTCCCCCTCCTCCTCATCCCTCTCCTTCTCCTCCTCCTCCTCCTCCTCCTCCTGCTCCCCTTCTCGCCGTTTCCCTCTGCTTCGGTTGACTCAGATCCTGTCGGAAAGTTTCGCCCTGCTTGAGCTGATGTTGGTTCGGCCTACCGCGTTTTACGTAGCTCTCATTTCCAAGCCAGTACAAACCCAGCTTGATCCAGCACAGCTTGGCTCATTCGAAATTTTGCTGCTGCAGCTTACCTCATTGCACCCATTCTTAGTTTTGCTTAGCTGAGCTAGCATGTGAAGCTCACCGTGGCTGTCGGACGCAGGTGGAGCTCTGCCTCAACATCGACGACCCCAACAAGCTCACCACCGCCGATGTGGGGGCAAATTTCGTCGGCAAGATGGTGCATCGCGCTGTTTCTGAGAGCAGGGGTGCATGGGGAAGAGGGGCACGGATGGTAATGGAGCTACGATGACTAATATAATGATGAAGCGGGTTCTGGTGTTGATGATGGTAATGATGGCAACGACGATGGCGATGATGATGATGGTGGTGGTTGACAGATGAAGTGGGGAATGATGATGATGATGATGATGATGATGATGATGATGATGATGATGATGATGATGATGATGATGATGATGATGATGTTGGCGACTGTGATGATCAGACCGATGACGCCGATGACGATGGCGATGGCGACGACGACGAGGAGTATGACGATGCCGATGACGATGACGACGACAACGACGACGACGATGATGATGCTGATGATGATGACGACGATGATACTGACGATGATGATGATGATGATGATGATGATGATGATGATGATGATGATGAGGAGGAGGAGGAGGATGATGATGATGATGATGATGATGATGATGATGATGATGATAGTTGTTGTGGTGGTGGTGGTGATGATGATGCTGATCATGATGATGGTAGTAGTTGTGGTGTTGATGATGGCAGGAGGGGCAGGGCCATAATCAACTCAGGACGTATCCACGATGCTACAGTGCACCCTCCCCCCCCAAGTGCCTGCTTCATGATCCCTCGCAGCGCTCCGTGGACGGACGACCGCCGCACGGGTGCGCAGTTTTGGGCGGGACCTCCGTTTGGAAAGGAGCTGCCCCGATCCCTCGAGCTATATGTGGAATGCGGCAGGGTGGGACTGAAACGCTGACCGAGGGTCCGGTGTCGGCCCCGCTCTGAAAATGAGCCGCCCTGCAGCTGATGCCCAGCGACGTCGCAAGCGAGAGTCCTACAGTCGAAAGCGATCGTACACCCCTCCTCGAAAGCGAGCGCAACGAATGTGGATCGACGCGCGAAGCGCGGCCCGCGGGGTCAGATCTTTGTGTTCGCAGTCGCCGGAGTCGGCGCGAGTGCTGAAGTTCTGTGGTCCCGGGGCGCCGCCGCGTCGCGACAAAAAGCTTGCGTCTTATTTCGAGGAGGGCTGCAAGGACGGGCAGCCTTCCCAAGGGTAAGTTTAGATCATTTTTCTCTATCGATAATTCTCGCTGTTACCTTGACCGGCAATAGATTTCCATATGCTTTTTTTCGGGAGTCATGCATAATTTAAGTGATTTCACAAGTCGTTTTCAAATCTAAATTATTACACTCGATTAGATGACGGCATACTCGCCGAAATCTACCCTGGCGTCCTTGCCTCTTCGTCACGTCCTGAGAGTGCCCACGGTGGCCCGCCGCGCTCGCGAAAGGCCTCGGCGCAGGCGTCCGAGGGGCTTCGCGCATCCTCCTCGCGCATCCTCGACCGCATTTTGGAGAAGGCGTCGCCCTCCGTCCGCGTCACGGTGCACCTGCGCTTGGTGAAGTTTTGCCGGGAGCTTCTGAGACGAATGCGTGCGGCGCCAAGGCGAGAGCCTTGCTCAAGCGGCTTGCGCCAGTCCGCCGACCTCCAGAGGAGAAACGAGGTCTACGGGTCAGACCTTCTGCCTCTTGGGGACCGTCTGAGGTGTCTATTGGGGCATTTTTGAGGCCTCTTGGGGGCCTCTTGGGGGCATCTTGGAGCCTCTCAGGGGCCTGTTCGGCGCCTGCTGGCGATCTCTGGGGTCCTCTTGGGGCGGAGGGCTCGACATGTCAGTTCGAGTTCTTCCTCTTGGGCCCCTCTTGAGGCTCTTTGGGGCCCTCTTGCGGCGTCTTGGGCGCTTCTTTGGCCGTTCGGGGGCTCTCTTGGGCCGTCTTGGGGCCTCCTGAGGGACCTCTTGAGCCGTCCTGGAACGATCTTGGTGGCCTATTGGGCCGCTTTGGATGCTGTTGGGACCAAAAGGGTGAATGTGCTAAACAATGGATGCTCTTCTTCGGAATTGGAGCGATGTGGGCCTGTTGGGGTTCTTGGAGCTCTCTCGGGGCGTTTTGGAGGCTTCTTGAGCCGTCTTGAAGCTATCTTGGTTGTTCCCAACAATCCTGTGGTGTTGGGTCTTCGTTCTGAAGAGACGGTCCCCTCGTTCCTCTCTTCTCCTCTCCTCTCCTCTTCTCTTCTCTCTTCTCCTCTCCTCTCCTCTCCTTTCCTCTCCTCTCTCCCCTCCCCTCCCCTTCTCTCTCCCCTCCTCTCCTCTCCTCTCCTCTCCTCTCCTCTCCTCTCCTCTCCTCTCCTCTCCTCTCCTCTCCTCTCCTCTCCTCTCATCCTCCACCCCTTCACCTTCCTCCTCCCGTCATCCCCCTCACTTTGGCACACCCCTCACACGCTTCGTGACCCCATAGGGAGCTCCACCTAAGGTCCCAGTGGCGCAGTCCGCATAGTGGCGCCGCCCCACTTTGGCACAAACCTCACACGTTTCGTGGCCCCATAGGGAGCTCCACCTAACGTCCCAGTGGCGCAGTCCGCATGGCGGCGCCGCCCCATTTTGGCACGCCCCTCACACGTTTCGCGCCTCCTCTCATCGATGCTTGCACCTATTTGCCCAAACGCTCCACTTCTGATGTTTGCCCGTGCAGGTCGATCTGCAACAGACGTTCTACTATTCGCTTCCCATTCTTGTCTGGTCAGGTTTTGGACACAGGCCGCCCTACACTTGCGTAACAGTATGTTTAAGACGAACGTGGGCGGTGCCAAGATGAACATACCATTCTGAAAACGACCTGCCCTCTAACCGTGTATCCGTTGGACATCTTGATTTTCAATATCGTGAGCCGTCAGGAGGTCTCATGCGACACGCCCGACAGAACACAGGCCCGCCTCCTGTGGGCCAGCGGGCACGCCTGATCCGTGGCCCGCAAGGTTGGATGAACACGATGCTGCTGCTGATGATGATAACGCTGCTGCTGATGCCGATGAGGATGATGATGATGATGGTGATGATGGTGATGATGGTGATGCTGGTGATGCTGATGGTGATGGTGATGGTGATCTTGATGATGCTGATGTTGATTCTGATGATGCCAATGCAGCTGATGATGATGCTGCTGATGCTGATGCTGATGATGCCGATAACGATGCTGATGATGATGATGGTGATGCTGATGCTGCTGCTGACGATGATGACGATTATGCTGATGCTGCTGCTGCTGATGATGATGACGACGACGATGGTGATGAGGATGATGCTTATGATGATGCTGCTGATGGTAATGCTGATTATGACGGTGATGATGACGACGCTGATGATGATGCTGATGCTGATTATGATGATGAGGCTGATGATGATGCTGATGATGATGATGCTGATGATGACGATGATGATGATTATGATACGGATGATGATGATGCTGATGATGATGATGCTGATGATGATGCTGATGAGGATGATGACGATGATGCTGAGGATGATGAAGAAACTAATGACGATTGATGATTGTGCCAGTTGTGGTGGTGGTGGTGAGGATGCTGCTGCTGCTGATGATGATGATGATGAGGATGATGATGCTGCTGGCAATGCCGATGACGATATGACGACTGTGGTGCTGATGATGATGATGAGGAGGAGGAGGAGGCGGAGGAGGATGATGATGACGAGGAGGAGGAGGAACACTAATGTAAACCAACGATGCGCCAACGATGTTGCAAGAACCCCTCGCTCCAAGCTTCTTATCCATAGGTCCCAACACGAACTTATGTACTGCGGGAGGCCGCCCATTAGAAGACAACCGTTTGATAACCCGAAACCGTGCCAAAACATTGATCTGGGATGTCAACGCCGCGGATCAACGGGATTGTTGCGTTCTGACAATCCTAAATCTTGTCAGAACACTTTTCCGGGGACTCCACCACGAGAATCCTTTGAGCTGCTGCAAATTTTGGAGGTGCGTAGTGCTAAGGCGAGAGCCACATGTTGAGAAACAATTACCTCTATCTTTTCAACGTGATGTAGACTTTTATGACGAGTGTGCGCGGCGCCAAGGCGAGCGCCACATTTTGAAAACGAACCGCCCTCCATCCTTGAAGCTGTCGCAAATTGGTAAGTTGATCGTGCGTGGTCTGAGGCGAGAGCTGCATTTCGAAAACAACGTGTCGTCCATCCCTGAAGCTGTTGCAGCATCTGAAATGCGAATATGCGCGGCGCTAAGGCGATAATCAGTTTTTGAAAGCGACGTGTCGTGCCTCCTTGAAGCTGTTGCAGAATTTTGAGACGAATGTGCGTGGCGCTGAGGCGAGAGCCAGATTTTGAAAACCGCCCGCCCTCCATTCGTGAAGCTGTTGCACATTTGAAGCGTCAGTAGCATCAATGGTGATGAGGTCTCAGGCGAAACGCCCAGCCTGCACAACTGACACGTCTGGGGGGTGCGACAGGGGGGTTATTCGTCAGGAAGTGGGGCGGGGAGGAGGAGGAGGAGGAGGAGGAGGAGGAGGAGGAGGACCAGTGTAAACCCAAGACCCATCAACGTTTTTGGAATGAACCCTTCAAGCTGCCTCCTCATAGGCCCCTACAGGAGTTCATGTCCACCGAGGGAAGTGCCCCGTTGGGAGACAACCGTTGGAAGATCCTGCAGCGTGCCAAAACACCACTCGGAACTTCAACGCCACGAATCAACCTGACTGTCGCGGCTTGGCGATCGTAAATAGTGCCAGAACATCGTTCCTGAGACTCTACACCGCGAAGCAACGTAACGGTTGCGCCCTGACAATCATGAGTCGTTTCAGTATGCATTTTCTATTGCGTTAACCATGGTAACCGTGAAAGTCCAGCAATTTTTTAAAGACGAACGCGCGTGGCGCTGAGGCGAGCACCACATTCTGAAAACCATCCGCCCTCAATCTGTGAAGGTCGTGTACTTTTTATTGGCGAGAGCCACATTTTGAAAAACACCTGCCCTCAACCCGTGAAATTCTTGCAATTTTTAATGATGATTGTGCGCGGCGCCAGTGCGAGAACTACATTTTGCAAACGACCCGCCTTTAATCCGCAAAATTCTTGCACATGTTTCAGACGAGTGTGCGCCGCGCTAAGGCGAGAGCCACATTTTGAAAACTGCCCGCCCTCCATTCGTGAAGCTGTTGTGAAGTTCAAGCTTCAGGATCATGAATGGAGAGGAAGTCTCAGGCGAAACGCCTGGCCCGCCCTGATGACCAGCCTCGGGGCGCGACAGGGAGGAGTTAAGTATGAATAAAAGGAATGGAGAATGATTCCTCGTCTGATTCGCAGAATATGATGAGGACGAGCGTGGGGGAGCAGGAGCAGCATTCCCCACTCTGGGGACCCAGAGTTGATGCAGGACGGGTTGGCTAAATGGGGAACGCGCGAGGGAGATCCTTCGGACATCCTCCGACGCTGAACCTCTCTTGGTCGGCCTCCCGCTCCCACATTTCTCGTGGAGCTCAGCCGCGCCGCCTGGTGGGACGGCCGCGCGCGCGCAGTACGACCTGGACCCCGAGAACACGCTCGCGGCATTGGAGTTGCTCTCCAACTCTACGTGCCCACCCAGCTCGTCGTCGTCGTTGACGTCGCCGTCATCTTCGTCGTCGTCGTCGTCGTTCTCCCCCGACTCCTCCCCGTCCTCCGCCTCCTCCTCCTCCTCCTCCTCCTCCCAGCTCCCTCCGCCCTCCTCCCCCCCCCCCCCGTCCGGGGTGTCCTCTACGCCGACCGCAGGCGTGCCTGCGGACGCGTGGTGCGTACTCCCCGTGTCTGGCCACCGGCGGCAGCCACTTGCCACGGTGCCCGAGAGCGGCCCCGCGGATGCCGAGGTCGAGGAGAGGCGCTGGGACGGGGGAGACCCGCCCTTCGGAGGGTCCTCGGGGCCAGGAGGGCGCTGCCCCGTGACGGGGCGCGAGGTCGCGCGGTCCGGGCTCGAGAGCTGCCCTTCTGCAGGGGGGGGGGGCGGCGCGAGGGCGCGAGGATAGCGCGCGCATCGCGGGGCGCGATGCGCCAAGCCAGGTGACCCGGACGACGGCGACGACGACGACGACGACGACGACGACGACGACGACGACGACGACGACGACGACGACGACGAGCGGATGGTTGAGGAGGAGGAGGAGGACGAGGAGGAGGAGGAGGAAGAGGATGACACGTTTCGGATGGCATTTTTCACGGCGATCTCATTGAGAAAGCGGATCGCTAGCGCCGAAACGTGGAACACTCCCGCGGTGCGGAGGGTGGCGAGCCTTCCTCCTGTGCATCGCGCACGGCTCCAGTGTGTGTGTGTGTGTGTGTGTGCTGTTCCATAGTGGGGCTCGCTTCGGGGCATACGTGAACCATTGCTCCAAGGATGGTTTGATATTTGACCTTCCTGTTCGCCCGGCACGGATCTTTCCCGGAGGGGACTGAGGGAGGCAGCACCGCTCCACCCTCGCCCTCCTGGATTGGGTTGGTGGGTGGGCAAAGTTCTCGAAGCAGGGCACGAGGAGGAGGAGGAGGAGGAGGAGGAGGCAGAGGCGGATGGGTAAGGACGGGGAACGAGGAGGAGAAGGAGGATGGGGAGGACAACGATAAGGAGGGCGGATGATCACTGATCACCATGTTGTTTCGTTTGATGACGACGACGAAGAGGATGAGGAGGATTTGCATGACGACGAGGATGAGGATGTTTATCACGATGTTGATGGTGATGGTGATGCTGATGATGCCGCTGCTGCTGATGATGATGACGACGACGATGACTTTGTTTCGAATGAAGATATATTCAGAGGAATGGGAAAACGATGAGGCTGAGGAGCCGTGATGAGGAGTGGGGAGGAGCATGAAAGGAGGAACGGGGAGAGGAGGAGTGCGATCATATAAGCCTCGAATGCATTACCGATGCTGCAATACCCTCTCGTCCCAAATGCTCTCCTCATAATCTCTCACAGGCATTCCTTGTCATTGTAGGAAGCGCATTGCGAGGGATCCTCCGCAGGGGAGTCTTTCAACCGTAGGAGGCGGCCGCCATGGTTGCGCCCGTGGCCCTCACAGGACCGAGGAGAGGTGACGAGAGTTGGCAAGCCAGTCTGCCTCGCAGCTGCAATGTCGTCATGAAGTTTGCAGCTGCAAGTCCAATCACTTGGACTAGCACGGCCGGTAGAGGAGGATCGAAGGAGGATGAGGAGGCGGAGGAGGCGGCGGAAGAGGAGGGGGAGGAGGAAGAAGAGAACAGGAGGATCTCAGGACAAGGAGGCGGAGGCTGAGGAGGAGGCGGAGGAGGAGGAGGGGGACGTGATGGAAAGACAGGAGGAATATGATAGGAGGAGGATCGGGCGAGAGGAGGAGGAGGACAGGACAAGGAGGGTCATGATAGGAGGGAGGGGAGGAAAAGGATGAATCTCAAGCTTGCTATGGGGGGCTCAGCGGGGCTCTGCTTCTCAGCCTGGGCCAATGCTCGGGCGTGTGCCAACAGCGCGGCTGTCCACATCTCAGTACGGGAGCACGACGGAGTAGCACTCGTGGGTGCACGACTTATGCATCCCATGCCCTGAGCAGCTGACGTAGGCGTACTCGAAGATGCAACATGTGGGCCTTCCATGCCCCGAACAACTGCAGTGGAGGTATGCGCACTCTGTGATGCGAGGTGACCTCCCCTGCCCTGAACTTTCGGCGTAGAAGTAGGCGGGCTCTGTGATGCACGTAGTGGGCTTCCCATGCCCTTAAGGAGATGCCTCCCGAAGGTCGGTACCCTCTGCCTCCAAACGCCCTCGATGCGAGCGAAGGGAGCGGCGCACCCACAAGCTCGCGAGAGGGCAGAGGAGGTGAGCAGTGCGTGCCAACGGGTGACTCTGCTGGAGTAGGCGTACTCCGTGATTCGTGAAGTGTGGTACCCATGCCCAGAACACCTGATGAAGTAGGCGCACCCTGTGATGCAAAAGGTGGGCTCCCCTATACCCTGAGCAACTGGCGAATAAGTAGTCGCACTCGTAGATGCATGTGTTGGGCTTCCCATGCCCTGAACATTTGGCGTAGAAATAGGCGCACTCCCTGATGCAGACGAGAAGCTCCCATTGCCCATCGCTGCTGTATTCTGTGTAATACTGGGGCCCCATTGCGCACATATGCCTTGTCCAATGAAAAGCGAAAAGGTCTAGCCCATGAGTGTGTCCTCTAACTGCGCCAGCTTCGTGTGAAGGATCCTCTCCATGTGCACCGTCGGTCCCTGGCCAGGCTTGTAGCTCGCTCCTGTCTGGATGAGTGAGCCGTGAATCACGCTGAGGTCGACGTCGCCCCTGGGGTTGAGGCTGATCTGAATCTTGCACTGCGCTGCGTCGTGAGTGTCGCTGGCCTTCGCGAGAGGGACGAGCTCGACGATCTGCTTGATGTCCATAGCTTTCAGCTTGTCGCCGAGCACCGTCAGGTTCTGCTGGTTGAGACCGCCGACGGACGCGCCTTCCCGATGAGGACCTTCGGGCGGAACTGCGAGGGCCGCGGAGCTGATCGTGCCGACCTTCGCCATCTCCATGTCGATCTGTGGTGCCGCCGTCGAGCTGCGACTCTCTTCTGTTTTTTTACCCAACGCCCAAACTCGGGCTCGGATCGCCACGACGCTCGTGGAGCCTGTGGAGACGAGGTAAGTCTTGATCAACATGGCGTCGGTCTGTCGCTGCCTCATCGCCACGTCGAGCAGCAGTTTCATGACTGTGGGGAGCCATCGCTGAATGCCTGCCATGTCCCTCTCCTTCAGTTCGAGCGAGTCCAGGTCTACTAGCTTGGCCTTTGACCCGCACTGTTAGTCGCCACGCTCTCTTTGCTGGCGGCGTCGGGACTTGCGAGCAGGCTGCGCCGCATCTGCCGCGGCTGCGCCTGCGAGCTCTCCAGCGCTGGGTAGTGAGTTCATCCACGACATGGGGGCGAGGCACTGGGAGATGCTCAGCAGCAATATGGGCTTGCAACTCGCCAAATGTGGCGAGGGTGTGCTCGCAGTCGTCGCTTGGGCAAGGCAGCTGCGGCGGATCGTTCACATCGAAGTTGGAAACATTTATATATATATATATACATACATATGTACATATATATAACAATAAAGTGTCAAATGTCAGTCCTGTATTGAGCCCAGGGCAGGCCACAGCCTCAACGCAAAGGAGGAGGAGGAAGAGGATGATGATGAGGAGTAGGAGGAAGAGGAGGAGGAGGATGAGGGGGCGGATGAGCATGAGGATGATGATGATGATGATGATGATGATGATGAGGAGGATGATGATGATGATGATGATGCTGCTGATGATGATGAGGATGATGGTGATGGTGATGGTGATGGTGATGATGATGATGATGATGGTGATGATGATGGTGATGATGATGATGATGATGATGATGATGCTGCTGCTGCTGCTGCTGCTGATGATGATGATGATGATGATGATGATGATGATGATGATGATGATGATGATGATGATGATGATGATGATGATGATGATGATGATTGTGGTGATGATGATGGTGATGATGAGGAGGAGGAGCCCATCGTATGGGGCCCGTGGCATCCCGGGGGGATCGTGGGGATCAAGAGGAGTAGTAGAAGGAACAGGTTTCTGGAGGCCTCTGGAGACTCCTGGAGGCCACGCAGGTCTGAATGGGGGAAGGGAACCTTTGTGCCATACCTCTTTCTTCACTCCGAGGGGAGGGAGGGGGGATGAGCAGGAGGAGGAGGAGGAGGAGGAGGAGGAGGAGGAGGAGGAGGAGAAGGAGGAAAGGATTATGAGGAGGAGGAGGATGAGGAGGATGAGGATGAGGATGATGAGAAGGAGGAGGACGAGGAAGAGGAGGAGGAGGAGGAGGAGGAGGAGGAGGAGGAGGAGGAGGAGGAGAAGGAGGAAAGGATGCTGAGGAGGAGGAGGAGGAGGAGGAGGAGGATGAGGATGATGAGAAAGAGGAGGATGAGGAGGAGGAAGCGGAGGGATGAAGGAGTGACTTCCTCCTTCCTCTGCCGCCCTCTCCTCTCCTCATCCCTGGGTCTGTTTGGCGGCACGCCTCCCGCTCGGCGAGGTACTGGCTGTCGGAGGGCTTCGAGGCGCGGGGCGCCTCCCTGTGCCGACGAGGAGTGGCGCCAGGTAGTAGAGTCCTGACAGCCGTTTCTCCTTTTACCAGCCTGAACCATAGCGCTGTTTCACACGTTGTGCATGTGCATGTGTTCCCCCTCCCCTCCCCTCCCTCCCCTCCCCTCCCTCCCCTCCCCTTCCTCCCCTCCCTCGCCCCTCTTGTTGTTTCTGTCGCGTTGCACACGTTGTCACTTTATGGATGAACAAGAGATTGCCCTCGCGGCGATTGGCCGTTCCTGCGAGAGATCATTCGTCTGCCCTCCAGGGGACCGCTCCAGCACCGGAGCTGGCATGCAGACCGCCTTTGCCTTTGCCTATCTTTGCCATCACGGTAACCGTGTGCCGATCTTGAGGATCCCCTTCTTTTAGAGAGCAGCTCTCCCCAGATTGCAATCGCCTTGCGCTTGTCAGCCTTAGGGGTCGGGCTCAGGGCTGATCCTCTCTTCCGTGGTGCGCCTAACATTCACTATCACCATCATGTACCAAGGGGCGGCTGGCCTGCTGCATCGGTCTGCTGGGCGCGGCCAGCGCCTCACCCGCGAAGCACCACCATGGGCCAACCGCCCTGGTCGGTTGTGGTGGTGGGGGCAAGTACGCCCACTACAAACTTTGGGGGGGCCGCGTGGACCTTTTTCCTATCTGCGCTGGCTCAGGGGTGGAGCGAGGAGGAGGATGAGGAGGAGGAAGAGGATGAAGAGGATGAGTAGGAGGATGATCAATCAGCACCACCACCATCACCATCACCATCACCATCACCATCACCATCACCATCATCATCATCACCATCATCACCATCATCACCATCATCATCATCATCGTCATCATCATCAGCATCATCATCATCATTGTCAGCATCATCACCACCACCACCATCATCATCATCATCATCATCACCCTTATCGTCATCATCGTCAGCATCGTCATCACCATCAACATCATCGACTCATCATCAGCATCATCACCATCACCATCACCATCATCATCATCATCAGCATAACCATCATCATCATCATCATCATCATCATCATCATCATCATCATCATCATCATCATCATCATCATTACCACCACCAGCATCATCATCATCAACAACACCATCGTCACCAACAACAGCGCCAACGCCATCATACTCACCACCATCATCATCGTTGTCATCAGCATCATCACCATCATCGTTCTCATCATCACCATCAGCATCACCATCCTCATCATTAACATGACTACCACCATCTTCATCACCATCATCACCATCATCATCGTCATCCTCACCATCATCATCATTAACACCATCAACACCATCATCATCAATATGCTTATCATCGTCCTCGTCATCGTCATCGTCATCTGCATTGCCGTCATCGTCATCGTCATTGTCATTTCCACCGTCAGCATCATCATCACCATCACCACCATCGTCGTCATCATCATCATCATATTCGTCCTCCTCCCCCTCATCATCATCACCATCCCAGCATCGCCATCGCCATCGCCATTGCCATCGTCATCCTTATCATCATCGTCATCATCGTCACCATCCTCATCGTCATCGTGATCGTCATCATCATCGTCATCATCACCATCATCATGATAATCATCTGCATTCTATGTCGCTTTGGAGCCGCTGCTGATCTTGGACGAGGGTATCAGGCTCGGGCTACCAGCTCGCATTCTGCACATGGAGATGATGAGCCACATGAGCAGCAGGCTCGCGAGGGAGAGGACGGCCTACGCGGAACCCACCGCGCACGAGATGTCCATGTACGCTGGGGCCCGGAAGGGGACCGACTTCGGCAGGGCCGCGTTGTACGCGGCGCTGGGGAAGGCAAGTTCACGCAGGTGTTCGTGCTTTCGTGGGTCGGCGACGTCACCGCCAGGATCGAAGCACAAGCGCGCGAAAAGGGCGACGCACGCGGACAGGCAACTGGAGGCGGCCATGCGGATGCTTCGTGCTGGGCGAAGAGCGCGAG